TGATTTTACATATTTTAATATTGAATAAATTATATTAAATATAATTAAAATAAATTAAAAATATGTTAGGTAATTGAATTTTATGCAATAAATATTAAAAAGAAGATAATTATTTTATATACTTGTTGTTGCTTATTCTTAGCAAACAATTGAGTGATTATCTATTCATTTATTCAGCCATTTATATACAAAATGTGCAACGACATAAACAAGTATTCAACAGCTAACAGATAGAAATAAATAGGGGCCACATGTGTGAGGAATCCTAAAATAGACAAATAAACACTGACACTTAGAAACTCAGCGATAGATATAGGATATGTAATAGATGCACGCTGAGCTTTGCAGCTTCAGCGATAGGTTAAAAATATTCAACACTTCAAGGGTTGAATTTATGCATGGGTCTATTTTAGCTTGGAAGAACAAAGGACAATGCTATACTGAAGTGTATTCATAATTAATTATCTCAGCATATCTAAGCAACGATATAAATGTCCAAATTGGCTAAACTCTAATGAACATCCTTCACATTATCTGCGATAGCTGCCAGATCTATTTATTGACTCTTGCAGCCAGAAGAGGGAATCTTTTTTTTTAATTGGCAACTGTTCGTTTGATTCATTGGGATTTCTTTGGGGTTTTGTGTGTGCATGAGAGACTTGAGTTAATTACAACTTAAATTGCTGGCAACTGCAATGGTCAATGACCAACAGCCGCTGACCCAATTAGTTGAAGCCGCTCAATGAAAGAGACCAAGGAGCAGCAGCCGAAAAGGGCAACAGGACGCAGCAGGATGGCATAACCAAAGCCATCTCTGTACAAGCGGCATTCATTTCAAATTCTGTTTATGGAGTTTTAGTAAAGTGGTTTCACATTTTTCAGTACCAAAACTTGGTATACTCTAACTGAACGTCCATGAATTTTGTGTAAGCGATAAGGCTTAGACCAGCTGAGAGCTGAGTAGATAAAGACAAGAATAGTCCCTAAAATGTTTCGCTTAAATCAATCATTTATAAATAATTTATATACTTATATTATAATTTATCTATCTATCTAGTTCAAAACAAATTCTTGATATATAAAACACCTGATAATAGTTGAAGTTTATATCATCATTGATCTTTGCAGTTTTACTAGACATTGTTATGTCTGCACTATTTAAGCTTTAAGTTCTTTGAATAGACTTGTATTTTATAGTATTCTATTTTATAGTTTCCATAGAAATTTAGTTTTCAAAGTCTTTCGCATTCAAGCATAGAACTTTGTAAGTACGAAACATATACTTTTACGAGTTGAGCATACCGAAGCCCCATTTCAGCAAGAGTATATCAGCTTCAGCATTTGTAGTTTCCTTAGTCCAGCTGTTGCAAGGCAACAACATTTGAGTGTAGCGCATCAAGTTGAAAACAAGGCATTTGGCTTTTCAATTACAAAGACAGTCGCAGCAGCAAACTAAACTGACAACCTAAAAGCATTTTCCAGGAATTGAAAAGCGCAAAACTTGGGCAGCGACAACTTTTCTTATATAAATACATATATATACAACTATATTTATATATACATCTATATATACAAACACACGTATTTCGGCACGTTCCAGATTAGCTTATAAATAGGCAATCCGAACAATACATAGATTCAACTAAATTTGTTTGAGCTTCTCCTCGTTGCTGGCAGCATTCATGCATTTTTCATGCAACGGCCAAGATTCCAGCTAAAATAACTTAACAAAGCTGTAAATATGATGAACCGTTGCCGGGCTGGGCCTCATCATTCTGTGCCCAGTTGCGACTCGAAAGGCGACAAACTTGGCCAAGTTTACGACTGCCCAGCGGCGGGCAGCTCTCTCAGCAGCTCGGCAACTCAGCAGCGTAGCAGCGCAGCAGTTGAAAAGCTGAGAGTGTGGAGGATGCAACTATAATTGTAGCTATACTACCAGTGCCACGCCCACTTTAGTTGATTCGCTTTTTATATACCCTTGCAGTGGGCATATGAATTATGTGACACAGTGGTTAACGCATAGATATAATTACATATGCAAGCATTACAATATGAGTCTGTTGATATTTGAATCTACTGCTTTCGCTCTCGCTCTCTTTTTCTCCATCTTCCTCTGTCTTTTTTCTCAGCCTTTCTTTTCGTCTCTGTCTTTGAGATCAGCAATCTGTATATCTATCTCTCTCTCTCTCTCTCTCTCTCCCTCTCTCTCACGCGCTTTCTATCTTTTACTCCACCTACCTCTTTCTTTCTCTCTCTCACGCTCCTTCTTGCTCTTTGTTTCTTTCTACCTCTCATTCTATCATTCACTTTTTCTATCTCCGTCTTTCTCGATTTTCTATATATATATATCACTCTTTCCCTTTGTCGCTCTGTTTCTCGCTCTCCATCACTTTCTTTTTCTCTCTGTTGTTTCTGCCTCTCTCCCAATTTTTGCCTCGCTGCATCTTTATCTTTACCTTTCCTGATACTAGTTTACCGGTCTATCTATGTATCTCTGTATTTTATCTATCTATCTATCTCCCTCATTATCTATCTGTCTATCCCTCTCTCTCTTCCACTATCTCTAAAACATTTTAGAACAATTTTATCCCATTCAATTCATCTACAAGCATATCTGCTAAATTTAGTTTTATTACCGAAGGACTTCAAATAGATTTAAGCAAAATTAATATTTAAGCAAAATTAACCTCAGAATTCCCTGCACATAATAATAATATTTTCCCCCTTATAGCTACTGTAACAACAATAGGGCATTCAATCTTCGTTCCGTCTCGCATAGCTTTTGAATCTGGTTGTTCTTTTAGTATTCCCCCATCAGGCACTTGGCCTCCATAGGGCATAGTAGCTGCTGTGGACCAATCGCATCAGCGCCAGCAGTTGCTTTAGTTTAGTTTGATTCAGTTAGTAGTTTGAGAGAGTTAAGTAGTTTTCTAAAGTTTTATGAATTATTAAGAGGATTTTCGAGTTTTCCGCTAGCCTTTCAGTTGCCATCCTCGCACACTCCCAACCACTCCTCCCGCTCCTCAACGCCCATTCAGTGTCCACTTTTATGCTCGTCAGCAAACGCCTGAAAAGCTGTCGAAATATGCAATTTTCAGTTTGTTTTTTAATTTTTCATGACAAATTCTGGCGCAATGCGAGCTTGTTGTCCTTGTTGTTGTTTGTTGTTGTTGTTGTTGTTGTTGTATAGCCGAGCATTAGTTATTGTTGTTGTTGTTGTTGTTGTGGTTTGACGCCCGCAGCATGGCAAAACGAGCTCCGAGCTCTGAGCTCTGAGCTCTGAGCTCCCGAGCTGCGAGCAGAGAGCCAACACAGCACGAGGCCATCAGATTTTTGGGCCAAAAATTAAATACTTTTTATTGTCAATAAAATTATAAATGCAAATTATAATTTTGTGCTGCCGTTGGCCAATTAGCCAGTGCCAGTGCCAGTGCCCACCCACTCAAACCGAAATGAAACGAAATCAGCCAACCAACCAACCGCCCCCAGCCTGCCAGGCCGAGATAATGCGCGCTAGTCCCCAAAAACAGCTCGTTGCCCAACACTGGCTGCGTTTCTGACGTCAATGTTGTATTAAAAGTTGAACATGTCGCCGCTTTTGGTGTCCCTTTTTCGGTCGTCGGACTGTCGTCAACTGGGCTAACTGAAAAGCAGGTGAGATTGGGCTGGGCTGGGGACTGGACTGGGGTCGGGGTTGGGCCGATGGGAATGCTGGATTTTGGCTAACTACGTGGACGTTGGCATGTTAATTCACTTTGCAAATTGTTGCGTCGTTGTGGCTTTCGCACGGAATGCTAATCATGCCTAGGTGTGCACAAAACAAAAACAACAACAAGAGCAACAACAACAACACCTGGTAACTGGCAACAACTTTGTTGATTTGCTAAGTGAAACTTCGATTAGGCGCCGCAGACACACTGAAACGCGCTAACAAACTGTTGACGAGGACCACAAAATATACAGTTTGAAAAGGTTTTGAACAGGGCGTATTATCCAATACGGATAAGGATAAGAACTAGATTTATTTATATTGAAGTAGTAGTTAGTTTAGAAGTTGTAGTAGTTTAGTAGTTGTAGTAGTTTAGAAGTTGTAGTAGTTTAGTAGTTGTAGTAGTTTAGTAGTAGTAGTAGTTTAGTAGTTGTAGTAGCTTAGAAGTTGTAGTAGCTTAGTAGCAGTAGTAGTATAGTAGTTGTAGTAGTTTAGTAGTTGTAGTTTAGTAGTTGGAGTAGTTTAATAGTTGCAGAAGTTATTTGATTAGGTTCTTCGATAATTAACGAATGAAGTTAAATTAAGCTATGGACTTTAAGTTAGGGACGTTTACTAGTAGTATTTTAATAGTAGTAGTTGCCTGATTAGAATCATCGATAAAGAGGCATGAAGAAGGTAGAACTAAGAAGAATATATATGTAACTAAGAACATATGAGACAGAAACATGAAATTTAGATATTCTATTCTAATATTCAAAAGGCCCACAATTTGAACGACATCATCTATAAATCATAATACACTTATAAACAGTTTGAAAGCCATTGCCTTACAGTTTTAGAATGACTCAAAAGTGCACACAAAATCTTTACAAATATTCTCAACTTTCAACAGCGTATGTTGCAGTCAGGCATGCCCGATGGTGATATTCCTACTTGTTAGCTTTAATTTTTTCGGGCCGGATTTCGCATCGGCTCAAGCTGCGGCCTGTGCGGCTGTAAAGCGAGCTGGGTCCGCCGCATAAACTTGCGCCACGTGAAATTTGTTATGCTCTATTTCGTTGCAAAGCAATTACCGACCCACACATACCGCTRTCTAAACAAAAAAATACACACACACACAGACACATGCACACATTTGGGTGCCTATGTATATGTGATGAGTGCCTATATGAATTCAACTCTATGAGTTTATTTTCGTTTGTGTATGTAATGCTTTACAGCTTATACACACACACGGACACAAGCATTGCGGAAGCGGCTGTGAAAATTAAATTGGTATAAATATATTTACCTTTACCTTTACCTGTAGCMCAGTGAAACCAAAGCAATCAGAGACGAGTGTAAGCTGTAAGGGAAAAAAAACAGAAGACAGAGAATGAGTAAAATGAAAGAGAAAGTCAAAGTTGGTGAATATTTAAACTAAATCTAGATTTTCTTTTCTTTTATGAGATGTGAGGATAGAGAGTAAATGAAAGAAAGTACTAGATAGACCGACAGCGGCATGGAAAGAGACAGATAGTGAAAGATAAAAGAAAGATATTGAAAAATAAAGAGTTTCTGAAAGAAAATGTAAAAGTGGCATTAGGTAGATGAAGTAAGATATAGCAGAGAAAATATGATAGAGCGATAAGTAAGGAAATGAAAAGAGAGTGATAATAAGAGAGATCCTAGAGAGAAATAAAGAAAGCGAGATACAAAGAGAGACAGAGAACTTAGAGAGAAAAACTTAGAGACAAAGTGTTAGGAGATAAAACAGACCTAGTGATATAGAGCTAGTAAAAACTAACAAGAGTCAGAGAGAGAGAGAGAGAGAGAGAGAGAGACAGACAGAGACAAATATATTCGGTGCTGGCTTGCTAGCTTTGCCGCAATTAGTATGCTAGGCTTTTGTTCATAAAATAGAAGCTCTGGCTGTTAGCTTTGAAATTTAGCTCGCTGGCTTAACTTGGCTCACTTAAAAAAGATAACGTATTCAGCAGTTAAAGCGGTTGAGTCGTTTAGTTTTGTTGTGCTTAGCTGTGCAAGTTTTTACATATGACATAAATTATTTGTCTGCCAACTTTTCGGGGCAATGCGAGTGAGTATTTATAGCTCAACTACCTCTACGAAATGGGCCTAGACCCATTGGTGGGGTCTAGTTATATATTTATTTGTCTGTTGCTTATTATAGAACATAATTAGCAAGTTAGCCAATATATATATATATATAATTCATATAATGACTACTTTGGACTTTGTGAAATGATGTCAATTAATGTGAAATGTCGTCTACTTCCGCTGAGAGAGCCAGAGCTTTAATAATTTGTTCCTTTCATGGGCGTCACACACAAAAAGCTGACATAAAAGTTAAATTGTAAAAATAATTAATTAAACTTAAACTTGGGGCAAGAATTTCAAATTGGCTACAAAAAAGTTGAAGAGTCGAGCCTTTTTATGTAGAGTTTCGGCAGCAAACTGGATGCGGCACGTGGCAACCGCTGCCAAAAGACACAAAAAGTGAAAAGAAAACGTAAAAACGGAAAAATAAAATGAAGAAATCGACGGAAAATGGGCAAATTTTGCAGGTTTTGCATTTGTTGCATTACGAGCACTATACAAATAATCGATAGCTTTTACGCAACTCCCCCAACAGCGAGGCACGATAATGGAAGGGTGAGGGTGGGGGACTTTGATTGGGGCACACGCACACACACAAACACTGTGTCTGAATGTGTGTGTGTGTGTGGGCAAAATTTGTGCAGACAAAATTTATAAGCGCATTACAAGAGCTCGTGTAGTTTTTGTGATTTGTTGCGAGGTCTCTGGTCGCCGTACTGTTAAATGGGGTCGATGATGGTGGCAAACGGCATATACAAAGTGCTTACAAAGCGTTTGGGCGATTAATCAGTTCATCAGCAAGAGCAGCACCCAAACAGCAACAGCCATAATGCACTGATGGAAGCCAACGAGTATATATACAGATATACACTGTACAAAAATAACACAATCATTTACTATGATTCAATAATGAATATTCTTCGAATTGCGGTTGCAGCTAAAAACTATTTAAGCCGCCCAACAAATTTCTTATATGTTTTATTACGAACAAATATGGCATAACTATGCAAGATACTAAGCAGCTTTTAATAAAGCAATCAGGCGTGTAAGCCGCTTTTAAGCCAAACCAACTCAAGGTCGTAATTGCATTTAATTTGGAATAAAAGTCATAACACATTTCAAATCCACAATGCAACAATGCATGTGAAAGAAAAGATAGTTCGTAGATTGTATGGATAAAGTATAGTAGTAAAAAGCTTAGGCTTGGATTTATCTGAGAGCTAGATTAGCAATAGAAAGCTGTTGTAAGCCAAAAATCATTTGAATAGAGCATTATTAGATTTTGTTTGTGATTTAGGAATATTATGTTTAATTTTTTATTTATTAAGGCTATAATTTTGTATATCATTAATTTTTATTTTTTTTTTCTAAGGATATTATTAAACTAGTTGCTATATATTTTTAATGATTATTTGATTATGATTAAGAATTTTGTAATAAATTTTGGTTATATCTCTTAAAATCTTATATTAAATTAAAGATTACTTTTACTTTAATGATTTTTAAGAATCTGATTTTTTTTTTTTTTTTTTATATATAGTTTTTTAATACTATACCTTTTTTTTTTTTTTTTGACATTAGTCATTAGGCGGGTTTAACGTTTGTCGTTGAAATGAAACCAAAAATTAAAACATTACCTTATCAAAAATAAAAAATTAATGTCAGTTTTTAACGAATATTATTATTTTATTTTTTAATTCATTTTATTTTGTTTATGTGTATACTAATCAATAATACGTCAATAATATGACGTCAAAATTTTTTTTTAACGTAGACAAATTTACAATCAGATGGTGCATATTAACTGCATAATATCGATGATGGAGTTATCGAAAGTAGTATTTGGCTAATTTAAATATATATATATATATAGTTTGTATATCGATGTCTAACTTTTTGCGAAGTGTATGTAAATATATATATGCATATATATGTATTTATATCGTTAAATACATTTATTTGTTGGTATGTGATTGAAGTCCTTGAGGCAGCGGCACGAAGGAGCTGCTAGCAGTGGCAGTTCGCGCGAGCTACCAAACAGCACAGCAGCAGCAAAAGTCGTTTTGGTGGCTAATTAAGTCAATTATGCACTTAAAGCTTCAAGTGGCGTGCAGCAGCGGCAGCAGCAGCAGAAGTTGCACCACCAGCAGCAGCTTCAGCCACGCCCCAAACGTTGGCTGCCTTTCAGTCAAACATCAAAGCTAGTCACGCTCGCAGGCTAGCGTCCTCTCACTCACTATGGCTCACCCTCTCCCTCACTCATTCTCACTCGGCCCTGCGCCTGCTGACGGCTACTTCTGGTTTTTTAATAATAAAATGGCGTGGTACAGGAAATAACTCATACGCGCCGTATGCCGCACTCGCCATACATCAGCGACAGTTTTTTTTGCCGCCGTTGCTGCTGCTGCTGTTATTGTTGTTGTTGTTGTTGCTGTCGCTGGCATTGTTGTTGGCGTAAAGACGTGTTACTTACTTACAACAGTCTTATATATTACATTGCCCACACACTCATATACATATATCGACATGCATATATAAGTTGCTATATAATATCTATATGCCTTGCTGTTTGACTGTACATATTATTGTTGCCTGTGTGTGGGTGTGTGTGTGTATGTGTCTGGGCGTGTGTGTGTGTGTGGCAGACACAAGAAACGATTTATCTCAATTTACATACTAAATGACAGGCAGAGGCAGGCTTTTGGAATGCGCCTTTGCTTTTGGGGGCGAGGGGATATGATTGGGCGACGTTGCCACAGTGGATACAATACACATGGTGGTTGTAGCTGCTTATCCTGCAGTGTAAATTCGTCCTTCAGCCAAGCAGCGTGCATCGACGTTTATTAAATGAGGCCCAAGTATTGATTTCAATTTTAAAGTAAATAAGATTCATTAAACCCATTTCTCGTGCCACATAAAGGCGAAAATCTGTTAATTACAATCTTATGATTTAATCACCATTGAAATACGCATTGTAAACGGATGAGTTCCTCGCACAAGGATCTCAATGAATTAACACTTTGGTATTCAAATTGAAATTATGACGGCAGAAATGTTAATGGATCCCATACAAGCCAATGGATGTATATTTATATGTGTGTGTGCGTGGGTATAGTATTATTTAAAACAAAACTGGTTTACAAAAGCGTTCTCTTATACTATCTCATGATATATTGTATAATTTGTTTATATTATCATCTTATTATACAACACTGCGGTAACCTACTGCATGAAAAAACGGTAGTACACATCGCTATAGACAGACCTGTTATAATTCTCTTATAGAATTATGATACGCTTAATCCTGTGTATACTCATATAGTCATGTCTGACAATCAACTGTTATACAATACTGCGGTAAACTATTACATGCAAAAAAAAAAAAAAAAAAAAAAAAAAAAAAAAAACGGCTAAAAAAAAAAAAAAAAAAAAAAAAAATATACATAAGAGTTCTTATATGATTATTTTTTAAAAAAAAAAATTAATTGTGTGTCTACTCGCATAGTCATGTCTGATAAACAACTGTTATACAAGACCTATTACTATACACACAGATTTCTTTAAACACAACAGTTAATCAGAACGAATTTATAAAACGGTTATACGTAACTGTCATACAAAGCTGATATGCGCATCTGTTATACGCAACTGTGCTACTCCTAGCTCCATAGCATGTTTGACAACTGTTCTATAAAACTGTTCTAAAAACTATTATGCATAGCTTATGTACAGAATCGTTATACAGAACAATTAAGCAAAACTGTCATACAGAATCAGATCTACAATTTAACTCTTACCCCAATGTTATTTTAATTCAATAGAACTAAGCTGGCTTAGTGGAACTGGTTCAAAATGCCTGCCACACCTGGCGACGGAATTTTCGTCCAATGCTTGCATTAGCTTGTGCCACTGTGCAACTCCCACGCTAAACGTGCTCGTCACTTGTCAGTTCTTTGTGGATGTAATGAAGGCGTTCGATGTAATAAATGCAAAATATTCCTTGTGACGCAGAAAAACAAAATTACATCGAAGCAGCAGCAATACAGGCAGCAGCAGCCACAGAGGCAGAGGTAGTGGCAACGGGAGCGGGAGTGGGAGCAGTCATCAACAACAACAACAACAACAACAAACAGCAGACAGACGGACATTTAGACAGCTGCCGGACAGTTGACGGCGAATGGTTTCACATCATATCACAGAGACGGTTGTTCCAAAAGTCAGTAAAAACCTCAGACTAAGACGCTGCTT